CACTCACTCACTCACTCACTCACTCACTCTCAACAACAGAGATGTTGGATGAGATGCGTAAGAAATTAGTCCTACAAATATGATAGGTTTAAGGACAAAAACCTGAAAAATGTCTTGAAATACAATATCTGAACAATATTTGAGGTGTGGTAACCATAGTATAAGCAGAATAATCGACTCCTGTCTGTTGAATTATTAGAAAATAATGCACACCCGAGCTTGAGGAAAGATAGCTGACGCTTCATGTCCTGGCCACATCACCACCTCGGGTGTGCATTATTTTATAATAATTCAATGGCCCGTCGTCAATATTCCTTAGGTATATTACCATTTCAATTTGTACAAACCATAGCTGAACCACAGATTTAACAGATATTTATTATCAGAATGTGTTCTGTCCTTGATTACTGCAAAAAACTTGTTAGTGTAAATGATAATTTCTAACTTTGACTATTACAAAGAGAAACAGTCATCCAAATATTTAAGTACTTAAGGAATCTGTATTCACTGTTAACAATTCTGAAAAACTACTAAATAATGAGATGATTAAGTTCACACTAAGGACAATAACTATCTATAGTTTTAATAACTGTTCTAATTTTGGGAGAATAGTGACGTCCATGCCACAACTTTAGCGCTAACAACACAGAGGAACAATATCATTTGAATCACTTTCAGAGTGTTTTGTTTTCCATCTGATGAAAGATAAAGCCGATCAGATTCACCTGACTTTAAAGAGCTTGATCATTTAAAGCAGCAGACAACAACTGTAGCACACACTTATATTAAACAGATGGTTATCATCCATTGGTGTGGACCTATTGTTATAGTTATTGTTCTTGGTGTGAATTGGCCTTAAATCAAATAACAAGGTGCATTGTTTTCAATGATGAAATGATATGTGTATTGTAATTTACTTTTCAACACTATCAAAATACTTTTTTGAGATTGTTATAAACTGAAAACTGTTTAAATCCACAAATGACTGATATTATGTGTGTGCTTTACCTGTTCCAGCTGTTTCTGCACCACACCCTGCTGTTCTGTCACATGTTTCAGCTGCTCTGCATCCTCATCAGGAAACTCTCGTCCTGCTTTCTTGGCAGTTCTCTGCTTGGCTGACAGGGCCTTTTTTGACTTTCTGTGGGCCCCAATCTGCTCCTCCAAATACTTCTGCTGCATCTGAAGCAGCTGCTGGGTTTCCCTGAGCCAGTCCTCATACTGAACCTTCTGTGCGTCACCTTGATGGGGGAAAGATTGGAATTAATTACTAGCATACATACAAACACATTTACAGATACATGTTTGTGATTAAATGTAAAACGGCAATTTAATATATGCTTAGTTTTGAATTACATTACACATTATACACATCTTTATACAATATGGACTGTATTACTAATCTATAACTATTAAAGACTTACGGGCAAATCCTGTCCCAAAATTTGGGGGATTGGGTCGTGCCATGTGAGGAGTAAGTTTGCCATCCTAAATGAGAAATTAACAGTATATACTTTATGAGTATTATTGTACTCATAATTTGAAGGTGAATGTCCTAAAAACAAAGGAAATGGTGTTTGATTTCAGACGGAAGACAAATGCTGTTTTGCCATTGACTATTAATGGTCAGGACATTGAAAATGTTCAATGTTTTAAGTTTCTCGGGACTACTATCTCTGCAACGTTAAAGTGGGACGACAACCTAAGAGGCATTATTAAAAAATCTCATCAAAGGCTTTTTTTCTTAAGACAGCTTAAAAAGTTTGGCGTATCTAAAGTTGGTATGTTAAATTTTTATAGAGCTGTCATTGAAAGCGTGCTGACTTTCTCACTTATAGTGTGGTTTGGCAGCTCCACAGTTCAGCAGAGAAGTCAGATTAGTAACAACTCGGGTTGCTTCGAAAATTATTGGTTGTGATCTTCCCACTATTGATGAGATCTATGTTTCACTTTTGCAGAAAAAAGGTTTAACAATCCTGAAAGATCCCTTACATCCAGCCAGACACCTCTTTACGCCTCTTCCTTCAGGCAGACGCCTCAGAGCAATTAAAACTAAGTCTACACGTTTTTTGAACAGCACTTATTGTAGGATTGTTCATGCTCTTAATTCCTCTGGTGTCTATGCATCTGTATTTCACTCCTTATAATTGATAGGACATAGATAGTTGTGTATGTGTATGTATTTATATATTGTATGTATTTTAATGTTTGTTATTATTGTTGATGAGCTCACCAAGAAAAATTCCAAACAACTAGGGTGTTTGGCAATAAATAAATAAATAAATAAATAAACAAACAGAACAAAGAGACAATCATTATGGACTTGAACTGCAAACCTTTTTTTTTTTTTTTTTGCATTGACTAAAGAAGAAAATCTGCCAAATTCTAAGAAATACAGCTACTGATTACTACACACTTATTGGTAGGTAAAGGAAAATCAAATTAGCCAACATATTTTATAAACACACGAGATTTAGGCGTTCAAATTTGGCTGAAATCTGCTAAATTTTCTGCAGAGTTCTACAGGCTCAGATTCCATGTGGACCTGCTGATAAGAAGAAATCTGATTTGAGTCTCACCTGTCCAGCCAACTGCATTGGAGTTATACCTCCATCAGGGTCTGATACCGCCTGCTCTGTCTGGACACTAATTGAGATTTTGTGAAGGAGAATAATGGAAGAGCCATTACTGCAAAAGCTCATACACTGAAATAAATCGAATAATATTTCAGTCAAATAAACGAGCCCATTAACTCACTTGTTCATCACCATAGGAGACATTCCCATGTTATTCTGGACCATCATTTTATTGATTCCTTTCAATGCAACCATCTTTGCCTTCATTATGGGGTCTGTGATAGCATCAAAATCTGAATAAATCAATGGAAAAGTATGCAAATTTAAGCAAATTATAGTCAAGTACACAGTTTCTTAAAAAATATAAAGTACAAATATTAAATTGTTTAGCTTGTGATAAACGGAGTAAAAATGTGTTTTAATGGATTATTCTGTTAAATATAAGTAAAGCTCTATCCACAGCATCTGCAGCATGGTACTGATTACCACCAACAAAAAATTTCAAACATCAGTTTGTAAAAACAAAAGAAGTTTTACTTTCAAATCAAAGTTTATGCACCAATTCCATCAGAAGTGCATTGCATATATATGCCATTTACTCAAAATTACAATCAAAATTACTCACAGTCAGGATTGCCAGCCGAACAGCAGGTTGAAACTGTTCAAAACTGTTAAAATTTAGCAGTTTGTGCAAAACCACATTTTTTAAATAGTTGCAGTAAAGTAGTTCTATGTGCACAATGAAATAGTCAAATGTTGTACAATGAGTTTCTTATCTTTTCAGTCTTTGACCAGCCGTTTGCCACATGCAAAACAGACAAAGGCCTAATCTCGCATAAAGGAAGAACAAAATTACAATACTCATTATATTTGCTACCCCTTACCTATGTTAGGGAAGAATGACTCGCTGGAACGCTGTCTTATCATAGCTTGCATTTGCTTCTGCTGCTGCTGCTCCTGTCTCTCCTGATCCAGGAGGTCTTGGAGAAGAAGTGGCTGCTCTTCCAGAAGCAGTGGTCTGTTCTGATGGCCTTCCTGTGACAGCATCGCCTGTTGAGTAAGAATACTGTGTTGTTCCCCTGAGAGTACAGCATCCTTTTGATCAATACCAAAAATATGGCTTTGTTGCTGTTCCTGAATGGAGCCTGGGACTTCTAATGCACTTTCACCATGAGAAAACACCAAAGACTGGTCAATACTGAGGCCAGGATCCATCCCCTGCACTGAGAAGTTTCCTTGCCCCAGCATAGTGCTACTGAGTGACATGGTAGCTTCCTGATTTGGAGGGTTGCTTTGTGCCGCTGACTGTCCACAGTGTTCCTGCTTCTGTGATTCACCTTCTAGTGGTACATTGACCAGCATGCTTGAAAGCACTGGAGTAGCATCGGGGTGAATTCCAGACTTTGGAACCTGTAAACTGGCATCAATATCATTTTCAAAGCAAGTTTGATTAATGGCAGCACTATCATTTACCTGATTCTTACAAGAGGTGTCTTGGGACAAGCAATCTTTAATTCCATTTTTGCTATCCTCTTCTGTTTTCAAGGAAACCAGCACCTGATCCTGGGGAACGTCTTGACTGATGTGACCTTGAGATTGAGCAGTATTGACCACTTCCTTCGCTGTCGATGTAGAGCATGATGATGATGAGCCATCAAAACTATCAGTCTTTTTCTCTGCTTTTGTCTTTTGGAAATCAGACGTCTCAGTGTGGTCTTCTATTGGATCACTGAGATCCAGGTCCTCGCTAAGATCTAAATCAGCATCAGCATAAGCAATTATATCAAATTTCCCAGACGTTAAGAAGTCATCTAGATGCAGGTCATTTGTTTCAAGATCCAAGTCCTTTCCATCATCTGGATCGAGATTTAGGTTCTCTAAATCGGCATCGACAAGGTCCTTCACCTCAACATCTTCAAGGTCCTTCACAGCAGATTCATCAGTATCGATTTTCTCCTCAGGTACTTCATTTGTGGATAAAGGGACCTCATTGTTTTGTACAGCAGATGTAGCAGCAATACTTGTGAGTAAGGGAGCACTGAGAGTCTCGTTGGAAGCAGGTTGGCTTATAGACCTTGTCAGGGGGATATGTGGATGTCCAGCTCTCAACGGAATATTGGCCTGCTGTAAATTCCCCAAGCTGAGAGATGCCTGCATCTGCGTATTAGCTACCTGAGACTGATTCATTGTTGTGTCCATTGGTTTTGGAATCTGATTGAAGGGGAATCCCATTTCTTGGCCACCCATGAAACCTGGGGGTCGTTGCTGTGAGGGCGATTCCATTCCATTTCCCTGCATAGTAGGAGTTCCAAAGGGAAGCTGCAGTCTGCTATCTGGCACTCTGTGTCTCAGTTCTATGAAGGGCTGCCCCATGATGTTGTGCTGTTGCACGTGCATGCCACTAGGAGGCAAATGTAAGGTTACTAAAGGGTTGCCTCCTACTGATTTTCCCAAATCCATAGATATGGATCTTCTCATCTGTGGATGAGTTTCAATTATTGGGTCCTGCATCTGATGAGGCCTTGGAGCTCCCAGAGGGTCTTGGACATTAGGAGTGATGGGCATCCTAAAATCAACAGGAGAACATTATTATTTTTGCAGTGTTTGAAAAACTTTAGTCCCTAAATTTCATACAAATGTTTTGAAGTATATAAAATCACCCACCTTGGCCCAAGCTGCCTTATATTTGAGTCAGCATCCACAGGAAACTGTGGTCTAGGAAACTGGCCTTCAGAGAAATGCCCCTGCTGATCTCCTGGGAATGGCCCATGGAACCTCTGAGGGGCTCTTACAGCTCCGGAACCAGGATATGGTGGTGGCGGGCGATTAAACATTTCACTCTGTTGGCCTGTAGACTCCTGACTCCAGCGCTGAGGGGTTCCTGGAGGCATGGTCAGAGGATGATCCTGTACACCCTTATCTTGACGTATGGCACTTTTCTGCTGTTGCTGTTTGAGGATCAACTCTCGAATACGCTGACGCTGTGAACAAATTAACGTTGTGTTAAATGTTGTTGTACAAATTATATATTGTAACTAATACAGTGCACTTAATAAAACAAATAAACCATCTTAAATAGAGTAGCAACAAAATAAAACAACACCTGTCTGAGTCTTTCCTCAGCTTCTGCAAGAGGTACCGTTTGAGCTTCAGAGCTGGGCTGGCCCATGGTGTGGGAACTGATACTCTGTACCAAACCTTGATGCTCTTTGTTTTCTCCACACTGAGGATGTGGAAGCATGGGGGCCTGCTCAAAAGGGTCATGGATGGGAGTTTGATCGGGTCGACTGGATAGCAGCTGAGATCCGGTTTCGTCTGTCATGCCCAGATGTTTGAGGGGCTGAGGTCCATGTTTTGTTGGACTGGCAAATGTGTCTTGCATCAAGACTTGAGGAGGAGAGAATGGATCTTGATTAGACATGGACCCAGGTCCCAAGCCCTGTCTGACACCTCCAGGATGAGGTGTTCGTAAGGGATGTGCACATGAATCATTAGGTAATGACTGGGACCTTCCCACTGACTGTGCATGAGGATCGGGCCCAACAGTGCGTGGCAGTCCGGGAGGTTGAATAAAAGGATCAGGAGTCCTTTGGTGACTTGGAGACTTGGGGAACCGGTCTGCCATTCCTGAGCGTGGGGTACCAGGGGGTTGTGCGTAAGGGTCCATTGACATAGGGGACATTATGCGGTTTTGAGTCTGCTGCTGAGACTGTTGAGAGGGCTGATTCATCATGACCAGATGGCGAGATACAGGCTGCTGAGAGTAGGGTTCAGGGTCATGTGGTCTAGGTGTGCCTGGCATTCTAGCGTATGGGTTAGAAAATGGAGACTGGGTAAAAGGGTCACTTGAAGGTCTTGGTGTAGCAGGTTGTTGTCCATAGGGATCACACTGGGAATAGTCTGGCCGAGGGGTGGAGGGGGCTCGAGCATATGGATTACAGGAAGGCTGGCGTGCCATTGGCCCAGGCTGAGAAAAAGGGAGGGTTTGGGGCTGTCGTGGAACCCTTTGATTTGCATAGCCATCACTAACTGCAGGACGAGGAGTGAGCGGAGGCTGCGCATAAGGATCATTCTGTTGATTCTGGGAGAATCCCTCAGAGGAACGAGGGGGCATCATTGGTCTTTCGAAGGGATCCCCACTTGCTCTCCGGGCAAGCATACCTGCATATTGTTCCTGAGTCTGAGGGGGTGGCATAGGGGTTTTAAAGACCTGGACGGACCCTGATTCATTGCTGCCTGGGATAGGTGTGAGTAAAGGACGAGCATATGGGTCTGAGAGTATCATCCTGCCCTGAGGCATCCTCTGGTAGGCTTCCTTTCTCACAGACACCCTAGAGAATGGATCATGGCCTGGGGAGCCAATAAGATGCCTCCCTTCCAAAGTCTGACTAGCTCTGGGAGGGCACATAGGTTTGAGAAAAGGGTCTGGAGCTCCTGCTGGCCTTGGGGTGTCTGGGGGCTTGGCATAGGGGTCATTACATATGGCTGTTGGAGAGCCAATTGGCTCTGAAAGACCTCTGGGAGATTTCCCTGATTCTGAGTTATGGCGTGGATTTCCCTGCCCAGTAGTTGGTGGTCTGGGTGTGCCTACCATTTTGGTGTAGGGATCCCAGGGTGAGGATGGTCTAGAGCCAGAGGAGCTTGGGGAGAACATCTGAGGGCTCTGTGGCTGAGATCCTGAAGATGGGGGTGGTGGATGAGGGCGCAAAAAGACGTCATCTGGGGAACACGATGTGGGCGTGCCGGGCAGTTGTGACTTTGAAACCTCATTTTTTGAACTGGGCTGCTTGGGAGACATGTTCCCATTGTTAGAATGCACAAACACTGGACTCTTCAGGTTACTGGAAGAGTCATGTTCAGATTGGCTGATTGACGGGAGCGGTTGCTGCTGCTGCTGTTGAAGTTGTTCATTCTTCACCTGCTCAAGTTTCTGTGTAGCTTCAATCCTAGCTTGCTGCTTACTTTTCTGTCTCATTTGCTGCAACAAGTGGAAAAAATATATATTAATGATTAAATAATAAGAAAATGTACCATATGTGATTTATTTAAAATACATAATGTATTACAATTACAATAAAATTCATTCAATAGTAATAAATCAAACCAAATTATCTGTTGACAAGCTTAATTACTTCTTGGCAAAAGGGAACACACAGATGTAACTCATTTGAAGTTCTGAGAAGTTCCTAAGATGTCCGAGTTTATGCATGAAGAAAATATCACATTTCAAACATTTTTCATATTCCTTTCTGCCCTCTCAAGTAAACAAATATGCTTTAGTAGAGTTTATTCCGAAGGCTGCCCATGCAAACATTTCAACATTAAAAACAGTAGCACAAAATGCAGTTGTGACACATTTGTTACACGTTTGTTGTTTTTAATGTTGCGCTCTCAATGAAAAATTAAACTTGTGTCTCAGTTCTACAAATTAGACAATTAAAGACGTAGAGATGCCATTTATATCATTTACTTGCTGTTGACAAAACCAAAACATTTCTGGCAGTCAACAATTTAGCTCTTTTCCAAACAAATGTCTATAGAAGACTTACCTGTCTATACTTCCATTCTTGTTCATGCTCTGATTCCTTGTGCTTCAGTGGATCGTTGAACAGTAATTCTGGGTCCAGTGGTGGAATAGCAGGATCAAACACTTCTAAAGGCTGCTGTGGCTGAGGTGGCTGCCTCTTAATGGTCTCGTTGGACATTTGAACTTTGTTAATGCGTAGGGCTGCCCTGTTATCTCTGGCCTTTTGCTGTGAATGGCAGAGTGGTTGTGCAGTGTTGATATCAAAGAAAGACCACTGAAATTCAAAGGTTGCATAAATTTGCTAAAATTACATGGTTTTTAGACTAATTGTCTAAAAGCTTTTTTTTTTTACTTTAAGTGGCACTCCTTCCCTTTAATCGTATCTTTTTAAATGTATTTATCTCTTAGACCGTAATGAGCTCCTTGGGTCCAATCTATTCTTTTGACTTTTGAGCAACACTCAAGAGTCCCTTTATCCTGTTGAAATAAATTCCAAGCTTTTTAGTGGCGGCCTGATCCTGGTCTAGCGGGTAGACCAACATAGCCACGTTATTCACCAGCAAAATTTAGCAGGTGAAGCCATTCGACACACCAGCACATCAGCATTCAAAACACTGTATATGCTGGTTCACCAGAAAACCAGCTTCCCATGCTGGTGGTGATGATGCTAAACTCAAATGTATTGCAGCAGATACTGTGTTAACTTACCACATATGGAGCCCGGTCCTGTGAACTTGCTTTTCTCCACAGTTTTGCAATTTGTTTCACTCGTGTTGACCAGTCTGTAAGGTTATAACATTAAAATAAAAGTATCTATTAGAAGAATAACATTGAGGGATATTAAGAAGAGATGCAAATCTAAATATACCATATTGACTTTCTTAACTGCATTAATATATGTTAGATTACATACGAAATATAGTAAAATGGATTGCTAATAGCAATTTGTTTTGATTGTAACACATAGTACTTTATTGATTTTCAAAGCTGCTAATGACAGATCACTTTGAAGTCCCTTGGCTGACCTGGATATTCCTCCTTGAGGTTTGGGAAGTTGACATTAGTGTACAGGACCGGTGCAACCGTGGCAAGTTCTCCAAGCGTTTCTTCTTTCTCCCACTTCAGAGTGCTTTTCTGTGCGGTGGACATGGAGTCTCCCTCCACCTCAGAGACGGCGGCTGGAGCAGAGGCAGAAGCTGACCCTGTAGCGGACCACGGACCAGCAGTCTCCTGCACTATCAGATTGAACTTCCTGTCCCTGTGCAGTAGATATAATAAATGTCATCTAGAAATACTGATTTTATCTTACTAGGTCACAGTATTTTCACCTACTGAACAAGAAAAGACTAACACAAATGTAGTCTGTTCATTTTTTATCAGTATTGCAATTTAGATATGTGTGGGTGTGCATATGTCTGAAGCAGATATACTCATGGCTGACCTAAGATTGTCTGAGAAAGGCATGCGCTGCATTGAAGGGATATTTTGAGTCATATCAGGCTCTGCTCCGGGACCAATTTGGGACTGTGAAAACTGCTGTTTGGGTTCCATCAAACCATTCATCACTGGCATTCGTGAAGACATTCCTGTAGAAAAACATAATACAACTGACCAACGGTGCATACAACAATGTCTGCTCTTCAAGATTTATCACAGTGAATATAATTCCGTTTGATTCACCTGAGAATGAACAACCTCAGTTTGTAAAAACAAACAAAAAGGTGTTTACAGTAATGCACTTAAGGGATGAGTCAAAATGCCATAGACGCCATTGATTGAGCTTTTACAAAACACAGAACATTCCGGTAAAGGTGAAATTTATGATTTTTGAAGAATGTGCAAATGCCATCAACACCGAATTACAAATATAATGTCAAACAGGTTTCTTGAACGCTCCCCCTGTCTGTCATTGGCCAAACAGAAAGTCTCAACCAAAAAACCCCAAAACCATGCTGGTTCAACAATATAGATTTCTTTAATGATTATGCTCAAATAATGCAGAATTGTTTTGACAACACCAGACTGTTCACACTCTTTTGAAAGTCAACCTATGAATGCTGCACTTACAGTTGTCTGTGCATTAAAACCAGCATGGGAGTATTTTAACATGGAAAATATGACACACATCATACATAGACAAATGTTACCAACAAAAGACAACTGCTAAATTAGTCTTAACCATATCATGGTTTCAAACATTCAGGGCTCCAGACTAACATCTGAGAGCAGTGGCTCCAGCGCCACTAAATTCTACAGATGGTGGCGCCAGAAACATATTTGGTAGCGTTGGGGGGTGGTCTGTGGGGGTATTAAAAATAAAGATAATTTAATCATAAAATTACTATTGTTTTGCAATAAGTGCAGTTACTATTAATATTTTACGTAATAAAACATGTTTATTTCTCTGTAATACACATTTGACAGTAAAGCACAGACCTTGAGTTGGGAAGCATGTTTACTTTCATTAACAACAGTAACGTGCAAAATCAAATGTTTTTTATGGAAAATTTATATATTCTACTCTTATTAAATGTACCATTATTCTTCCATATTATCATACTGAACTGACCGACAACTTCAGTGATTATAAATGGAGCACCCTTTACTTGCTTTATGTGTGATTCAGTCACAAATTGAAGAAAAGTTTGTTTTTCAAGGCACTTTGTGACTTTTCTTTCTTCATACTCAAAAAAGTGCAAAACTTTGACAAAATTTGATTTCTTGATAATTTGATATTTTACAATGGTGATTTTATAATCTCAAAATATAAAGCAAAAAACTAGAAATGAGTGACTAATATGCCAAGTGCTCCTCTGCTGCCGTCTACTGGTTAAAGTGGTAATTTGATGTCTGTTTTGAATTTTACTAAGCGTTTGTTCACCACAAAGTAAATTTTGGTCATCCCATTCAAAATAAAATTTACAGTGGGTATAGAAAAGAATCATCCCCCTTTATTGTTCAACAGGTGTTACCATATCCTTTTATTTATAGTTCCTGTGGTTTACAACCCTGAAAAGAATAATGTAATAACATTAGACTTTGTCTGCCACAACATCATGGTTATAGTTATTCTTACTATTTCTGGTTTTCTACATCAGCGCTGTTTGATCTGTTGAGAATTCTGTGAAGAATTCGAATGCTTTTCACTAGATCTCGCAGCAACCTTATTCATTCTGTGGTGAATTCAAACGCTTCTCAATGGATCTCGCAGCTCTGTGCAGTAACAGTGTCACGAGATCAACACTGGTTCCCGAGTAAACCTGTTCTGAGCTTTGGTCTGAGCTGATAAACGGTCTGCGCTGCGCAGCTCAAACAAGTAACATGTTTCATTATGCTTTTGTTTCGTTTGCCATTTGATGTTTCTCATATGCAACAGAAATGGCAGCACTTATTAGTTGGTCAACGCTGTGGTCCGCTCACAAAAGTTTATAGCACTTGCAAAAAAAATGGTCGCAAAATGCGACGATTTGGTTGCAGTTTGGAGTCCTGATATTCCTTATTTTCCTAAAACAAACCTGAGTTGGGTTGGGAGGGATGTAAACCAGTGCATGCGGGACCTTGCAGGGTTTGAGCTCCCTGGATCTGTTGAGGCATCTGAGGAGATTGGCTGGTGCTGGGGCTCAGGACAGCTGTGAAGAGATCCTCCACATCCTTCCCACCAAGCTCTGCAAGGAATGGGTCAATACTTACAATCGAATGAACACATTCACTGGCAGTTGCTGCTTTGAGTTTATAACCTACCTGGCATTTTGTAGAGTCTGCTGAGAATTGATTCTGTAAGGCAAAAAGATTTGCTGTTTACATTTAGATGTTTAAGTAACAAGTATTACTATTCAACAATGCATACATTTGTTATACAGACCATCAGTGACCATCTTGTCCAGTTCAGGGCTGAGGATGCCATCCAGTGGCTCTTCGGGCACCTGACGTGGGTGAGTTCGGCCTAGATGAGTTTGAGATGAAACAGATGCATCTTCTGTTAAAGGAGCAATGTCCAGACCTATACAAACACATATACAAAAGCACACAAATAATGTCATGTCTATCTCGACAAACTAAAATGACAAACCACCGGACCCTGGTGTCCTGAAATTGGGTTAGTCATAGTTGATCTTAATAAACTGAAGGAACAGCTCACCTAAAAATACAAAATGTTCTTTTATTCACCCTCATAAAGTTTCATATCTGTATAACTCTGTTTCATTTGTCGAACATACGCAAAAAATAACTTTTGCCTCAATAAACTCCTATTTTGTTGATTATTAATAGTTAGTATGCTAGTTGTTCAGTTTAGGTATGGGGTAGGATTAAGGGATCTAAAATATGGTCATGCAGCCATATTTTACAAACCAAGCTGACTTCACAGAAGTGGCAACGAAAGCCGACAGTTTGTCGCTTTGTGTCGGCTGCGTCTGGACCGAAAAGCTGCACTTGATCACACCGCACAGACTACATCCGACTGCAAACTAGTATGTGCGTTCTGTGCATGCGTGCAAGGAATTAACTGTCTATATCAACAGGTATCAATAGTATCAAGCGTAGCGTGAGTTCTGGCAAGTCACGATAGTAAAACTTGCATCAGCTGACTCTCAGCTGATCCACGTCTACCTATAGGCATACGATACCTATCACTACTTCCTTATATAAGGTCCATTCAGTATTATTCAGCAGCTTATCGCTTTGCTCAGGAGCTAATTACCCTCCTCCATCCCCAACTCCTCCTCTTGTCCACAGTCAGGACTTGGCAATCGATATTCCTCGTTGAGTCACACTCTTTATCCTGAATCATATTGTTACATTAAATTGTCACTCTGCTACATTAATGTTGGTTCTGTTCTGTTTATCCCAGGGGGTTATAACCAGTGTTGGGGAAAGTTACTTTTAAAAGTAATGCATTACAATATTGAGTTACTCCATAAAAAAGTAACTAATTACATTACTTAGTTACTTTTTATGGAAAGTAATGCGTTACTTTACTAGTTACTTGAAAAAAAGTAATCTGATTACGCAACTTGCGTTACTTGTAATATATTACCCCCAACACTGCTTATAACTGCTCTCCCTGCTCCTATCCATGCTAGGGTGCATGGACGGGCAGGAGTTTTTGCCCAGAACAGAACCATATCTTTGACGATAGCGGTCCTGACAGAACTATAAACATCAAACCAAGACCAAAGGATATACGAGATATACGCAGATATATGAAACATAAAACAAAGCAGCACTTGCTTGCCACTTTGAATATCAGTTATGTTGATAACTTTCTTAATTTTAAGATGCTCATGTTGTCATGAAAATATTCGCATATTGAATGCTGTTTTATACATTAAAAAGTCTTCTCTCTCTGTGCTCTCTTAATTTGCTCGTTTTCACCACTTTTGCTTTAATTCTAGTGCACTGAGTCCTTTGCTAAACTGAACATCCAATCAGAGCTCTCTTACCGACACCGATTCAACATGTTGAATCAGGAAAACTGCCACAGACGAGATCCGACGTGTGGAACACACCAAAACAACAAACCCGTAAGATGCTCACCGACGGCCCGGCGGTCAGCATGGTGTGTCCAGACCTTTATAAGTACTCATAAACATCCAATATGCTAGTAATATGTATGCTAATAAGGCAACTAGTTATTAGTGAGAATTGGTCCCTAAACTAAAGTGTTACCAAAAGCATTCTTCAAAATATTTTTTGTGTTCCATATAAAAAAGTCATACAGATTTGGAATAACATGAGGGTAAATAATGATAGAATTTTCATTTTTGGGTGAACTCTCTCTTTAACATAATTAAAACTAATAAGCAAAACCAGACCAGAGCAGGTTGTGATTACCTGAGTCATATCTGACGCAAACGAAACTGAATAAACAACTTGTGCTGCAAAAATAATTCAAACAGAAATACTACTGTGTGCTCTGAGGGAGGTCAGACCGCCTCGTCCTCCAAGGCTGTTTTTACAGCAGGGATGAGAGCTCGACATCTTTCACAAATTTCTAGGTTGGTTCCTTTTCATCAAACCAAGGACTCAGTGGATCTCGGTGGAACAGTGTCCCTATTCTTCACTCATCCATTCAGGCAGAGGCCCTGACTGCCGCTCACAGGAGGAAGGCCATTCATCATTGCCTTAGTTTTTCTGAAATGCCTGTCTCTAGAACACCTTGATCACACCTGTTAGTCCAGCACTGCACTGCTGCATCATTCTGAATCTGTTAGGTAATGTAAATGCTTCTGATAGCTGTGCGTTCTGGGATGTTTTACTTGGTGAAACTAAATGGACTGCATGATGCATAATGGTTAGATTCAGGTGCAGTGCACACTGTGGGTGATATGTCAACAATAGAAAAAGTAAAACAAATGTTCCAATAAAACCCAAGCAAAGGGGTGCAAGAGAATAGAAGTAAATAACTTAAAATATGACCATGAGCTCTTACCAAATGGTGAAGGAGAGTACTCAACTTGGAAAGGGCAAAAATCAAGACCTACAAAGACCCAAACCAAACACAATGAGGGATCAGCACCATGAAGAGAGAAAGAAAAATTCTGCAGATGATTCATACACAATGTCAAATAAAATGAGCTAAGAATGAAAAATGGAAATGTCAAGAAAATGAACATAATGACAAGACAATAAAGACCATCTCTTACAGATAATTAAATATTTAGATATTAAACTATTGATTATCTATTTTCAAGCAAAACTAATAAATATGCGTAATTATTGGGTGTAGAAATGTGTGTGTGTGTGTGATAAAAAAAAAAAGGAAAAAAGAATTACCCGTGTGGATTTAACTAACTGCATGTGTTAACGTGTTACATTTGAAAGCCCTATTGAAATGATTGAATTTTAGGTTATATTTGAACATTCTTTGATAGGAATACTTTATATCTATCATCTAAGCACAAGCCTTTATATCAAAAGATTTGAAGATTATGAGAAACTAATTCAGCCAAGTGTATCTACATTTATGACTGGTAACGCAGTTAAAAACTACACTAAGAAAAAGCGACTTTAAAAAAAAAAAAAAGGGAATCCTTATTGTACTGATTTGAAGTGGCTCTTCTGAGAAGAGCCTTTAGGGTGGATTCTCTCAGTGTTGACGCAGGAGCTAGCGTGAACAGCTAGCATTAGCTCAACCAACCAATTATGTCATTCCCATCCCATTCATTCTTCCTTTCTAGGGCTGGGTGATATGATGATAATACAACATCAGTGTGCAGGACTGCTATATGCTATTTACATGTGAGGGTGATACAGAATCATGTAGAGTAATATGAAAATACAGTGGGAAGTGAAATGTGTCTCAAATAAGTCAAGATTAAAGGTTGTTAATAAGTACAGCGCCAGATTTGTTGTTTTTACAGTACTGCATTAATAGAGAATTCCGATGTGTGAATATCGGCTAGAATTTAGAGTCTGAATTATTTGTTTTATAATAGTAGTTTACTGATTTGAATTTTTATTTTTTATTATTATTTTTTTTATTTAGTATATAACAATGGAAAATCCAAATATTTTGAAATATTATTACAATTTGAAATAACGGTTTTCTATTGTAATACATTTTACATTTTAATTTATTTTGTGATGACAAAGCTGAATTTTACGGAAGAGGATTAGGGCCAAGCAATAATAAAAAAATAAAACAATCTCGAGATTGAAGTCATTAAATTTAGAGAAAAAACTTGTTAAATTTCAAGAAAAAAGTCGAGATAAAATGTTGAGATTAAACTCATTAAATTTAGAGAATTAAGTCATTATGTTTCAAGAAAAAACTCATTACATTTCAAGAAAAAAAGTCGAAATAAAATGTTGAGAATAAACATTAAATTGCAAGAAAAAAGTAGAGAATAAAGTTTATTCTCAACATTTTATTTACTTTTTTCTTGAAATTTAACGAGTTATTTTCCTTGAAATTTACCAATTTTTTTCTCGTAATTTAATGAGTTTATTCTCAACATTTTATTTCGACTTTTTTTCTCGAAATTTAACGAGTTTTTTCTCGAAACGACTTCATTCTCAATTTTATAACTTTAATCTCAACTTTTTATATCGACTTTTTTCTTGAAATGTAATGAGTTTTTTCTCAAAATTTAATGACTTTAATCTCGAGATGGTTTTATTTTTTTATTATTGCTTGGCCCTAATCCTCTTCCGTAGAATTTTAAGCATCATTACTCCAGTCTTCAGTGTCACTTGATCCTTCAGAAACCATCTATCTATCTATCTCTGATCTACAGCTTTTGAAAGGTAAATTGTAGGGCTGAGTTTTGACACAAATTTCACAATTCGATTCGATTCTCATTCCAAAGCTTGCGATTCGATTCGATTCAATATCGATTATTTTGGATATATATCAGGTACAGTACTTGCCAAATTTTCTCAAGGAAAAAATCTCTCAACTAATGCTGTAAAATATACATGAGTCAGTTGGTACTACATTACTATAATATTGAAGGTTAAAATTGACTGATTTGTTAAAATTACACTTAAAATAATAAAGTTACAATTACATAATATTTCTACTTCAATTCGTTTTTTAAAAATATATAAACAATGGTGGCTGTCATAAAAACTTGATGGATTTATTCAAACAAATTAAACATTGAAGAACAGTAAAATTTATAATGAATATGTTATATGGTGCATATATTTAACAAAATGCCCCTCTCTACAGTTTATTTTTCTATCTGACTAATGAGTTTATGGTCACCGAATATGTTTTTCTGAGCTAAATGTGACATTACATGACATTGTTTACAAGCCGTTATATTGACGTCTTTGTGCGGCTGAAACACTGATTGAGTGACTGATTTAGTCATGTTTATTTTGTGCTGAAACTGGTATTAATGTGGAGGAGATGATCAGTTCACGTGCGCCTCGCGCTGCCGCGTCTACAGCAATCTGTCACTCCACATTAAACAAAACGTCATTTATTGTTTAAATACTGCAATACAATGGACAGAATTTGAAATCTGAGACTTTGTTTCATATTAAAAGTACCAAAGCACAATGCTTATTGCGATATATTGGATGGGAAGCACCCTTCAATGTTCCGTCCATTAACTGAAAACAGGCTAGAATAATCGATTCTTGGGATTTAAGAATCGATATCGTTACGTAAAAATGACAATCGATTAATATAGAGATATCGATATTTTTTACCCAGCCATAGTAAATTGCAATTTAGCAGGATTTTCTCAAAATATGCTTTCCACACGATTACGTAATTTATGCGCACATTTTCTGTTATATTTTCAGCAAAAAAAACCCTGTATTTTCATATAAAGTGCATCTGCTGAAAAGTTGATACTGATTCCAGAGAACTGCAGCTTAGAAATTATCTCATATTGTGTGGCTTGTTTTGCAGAGATCTGCCATAGCTTTTCCAAGAGAATGTGACTTATGATATTTGCCTGGTAGATGAAAAACCCCACAAACTTGCATTGAAGGACCCGAGCCATATCTAGACACCAAATATCACAGAGAATTTGAGCCAGCAACCACCAAAAACAACCTCGCAAAAACTAAGCAATGGCCTGACAACCACCCAGTACACCTCAATAAAGTGATGGTATATTTTGCACAGACAAACACCACTCATATTGTCTTTAAAATCGAGTTAATATATTATATTTTAAAAGTTGACCTGTAGGTAAGCAGGGAAAGCCTCCTCCAGTTTGGTCTTCTTTTTCCTGTAGCGTTTCCGTATTTTAACCTCAGTGTTGTCGGGAAAATCAGACAAAGGTGGTTTTTCATCGATTGGAGTGTCAGGCGCTTGGTCACCCCAGCCTGTCAGGACAGAAAAGAGTAACCCTATTCATTCTTTACATTACATTCAAATCTTATGTAATTCAAAAATAACATCCGTAAATACATACATTAACACATACGTATGTACATAATACATTTTTAATGTATTTTTCAAAATGTATTAATGTAGATATTCAATAGATCAGTCTACATATACATGTGATCGGGATGAGCCCAATCCAGCTTTATGCACTTCTGCAGTGGTTGTGGACATTTGGCAGCAGTTGATCCACTCAAACAGATATTAAAAAAATAATAAAGACAGAAGATATTGATTTAGGATCTAACATAAGCTACCAGCAAGTCATCATACTGAAAGTGTTGAATGATACTCACTCTCATCTTTGCCTTGCAGGGTCTCAGAGCCAGTGGAGTCCTTCCTGAACAAGGCCTGTTTGGTTCTGCCCAGACCTGTCCGGTTCCTCTGTCTAACCATGAATCCTCCAATACCTGAATAAAAGCAGAAACTTCAATATATTTTTGTTCAATAATATTTTTTCTTTTTCATTTTGTATTTTGAGAGAATTTTATGGCACCAATTCATATTTATGCAATAATTATGATCCATTTTCCCCCCACTGAAAATACAGAAAATAATTTTTTCCCCCAATTTTCTTAAAAATTATTTTTCAATTAATGCAGCATTTCAGGTTAAAAATGAGACTAGCTGTGCACTTTTTTTCTGCATTATGGCTGATCTGTAGATTATGCATGCAAATGTTTTTCGTATTTTCCCATTTATTTCCTATGGTGGTCATTTTTGACTGTGAAGACTTTTTTTTTTTTTTAGCCTTTTCTAATCATGCCCTCATTTTTTTTGTGTAGTATCACATAACAAATGCCATAAAAGTCACCAAGTTTTGTACCATTCCGACGAAGCTATGCTTTTTAAAATTTCAAAATCTAAAATTTTCCGTCAAAAGTGACCAAAGAGGCCCAGAGGGTGTAAATAAGAAAGCTCTTTTGCCAACTTATAATGTCAACCTTTGTTTCATGACCATTTTCCATGCATTAGCTAATATAGATATCAAATATCACAGATTTTATTTTATTTTTTGTATCCGAGCAGTCATTCATATCTACAAGATGTTTGGATGTTTTGGAATAGACAATGTACAATTAATAACATCTGATACAGTGGCACAGAAAAAAATATAATTGTATTTAAACAAAAATGACTCATTTAAAAAATAAACGATTTAATTTATTATTAGATTAATAAACAAAACAAGAGAAGCTCTGTGCCTTCTACTCTATTCCTTTTTCTAATCATGCATAATTGCCATGTATAAAGTACAATCATGCATGAACATACAACTTCCAGCAGACCTGAAAAAGACAAATACTGTAACGAGGAAATCACTTGTGCAAATGAAAACGTGTTTGGTTAGACTCCACTGAAGCATCTTGTCTCTCACCAGGGCGGTAGGGCTTCCTCTTCCTTTTCTTGCAGGGATCTGTGTCTTTAGAGTCATCTTCTGCTGCGGCCTCTCTCTCCGGACTGGAGTCTGACTTTCCCTCACCGTCCACAATCTCCCCTTCTGCTGCAAAACACACACAGACAAAAACACACACACACACACACACACACACACACACACACACACACACACAGCTGTCAGGGATCACACAGGTTAACAAACCCAGACTATAAGAAGAGAACTGTAAAACGAGACACTTTAAAACTCTATGTCTTCCACAATAGATTCAGTCCATTTGTGCTAAAAATAACATTTCGAATCACTATAATGAGCTGCCTACCTAGTTTTATGGCACACATAATGTGAAGGCTGTTTTAAATTGTAGGTAGAGATTATGCTGTCTTCTACAATACCTAATTCTCAAAAGAATCGGAGGCACAATCGCATGGATTGCCATAATGCTTTGCCATGAGCTCACCAAAAATTTCCCAGCCAAGACAGCCGACAGAGATGAAAGAAATACTGACTAGAAATCATATAAAGTGTCCATGGACCTTTTTTAAACAGCATCATCAATGACATAGGTCAGGGGTTCCCAAACATTCCTGTCAGCCGAACTGCTTAGATGTAAAATATTTACTTGAAGTACCTCCTGAGATTTTAAGCTAATATTTCAATGATTTAACAACACATTCTCATGTTTGTGGTACTCTGATGTTGGCTAATGGTCACATGACATGCAAGTGAACAGATAAAATATTATAAAATCTATTTTTTAGTGTTTATTTTTTTTAATAATTATTTATATAATGGGCTTATTATTATTAATTGTAATTATAAAAATTAAGATAAATATATTACTCTTGTAAATTACATTAAATTAAATTCAAATGTATTTGTATAGTGCTTTTCACAACACACATTGTTTCAAAGCAGCTTTACAGAAAATGCATGTGTCTACATTACAATTTAGAGTGATCTGTTATCAGAAGTGAATGTGTCCAAGTAATGTTCATTTCACAAATGAACACTTCAAGGTAATAGAATCATACAGTTAGCTAACATGAAATTAATTTCAGACAGAAGCTCATTAAAGCGATTATTACAAGTGTGATCATAATGATTACAACATAGAGAAAATCTGGCAGCTGTGCACATAGATTCAAGTTGCCCAGTAAACTAAAAAAAAAAAAAAAAAGCGCTGTAACAGACTCATTGCAAGTTATCGCAAACGCTTGATTGCAGTTGTTGCTGCTAAGGGTGGCCCAACCAGTTATTAGGTTTAGGGGGCAAACACTTTTTCACACAAGGCCATGTAGTTTTGGATTTTGTTTTCCCTTAATAATAAAAACCTTCATTTAAAAACTGCATGTTGTGTTCACTTGTGTTATCTTTTACTAATATTTAAATTTGTTTGATGATCTGAAACATTAAAGTGTGACAAACATGCAAAAAAATAAGAAATCAGGAAGGGGGCCAACACTTTTTCACACTACTGTATATATAAATACACACACATACAGTATATATTTTGAAAATATTTACATGTATTTATATTTATATTACAGATAAATATATTTAATATATAAACAACTTTTTTTACAAATATATACAGTATATGTGTGTGTATTTATATAGACATAATAAATATACACAGTACACACACATACAT